ATTTATAAGTTTAGAGTAGAATTTATGACTTCTTTCATTAAGATTACGATAATTTTGGGCAAAATTATGAAGATAAATGGTAAATTTTTCCATAGAAGTGGGTTAAGTTAAAACCCTAATGGATGAATTTATTACAACTGTGTTAACATTATAATATGAAAAGGCAAATTTGCTACCGTTTAAGGTTAAGTTAAAATGATTCTGGTTAAGATTATTAGTATATAGGCCAATTTTACTTTCGTTTTGATTAATTATACAAACTTAAAAGTCAATTTACGACATCGGTGAAATGCAACAGTGTCATATTTATGTCTACTACTGTAATAAAACTTTTACTAATATTATAAATTTTTCAATGATGTTATAAATTTGTCCACTATTGAGGTCTTATCTTTTGCTTTTATTTGTGGCAAAATCTAATACCTTATGAACCTAACAACTTTTCAATGTGGAACCGAAAAACTACCGTAGCCCTCCCCTTTCCCCATACATCTGCATTGAATGGTCGCTAGCTGTTTTAGTAGTCCAAGGATACACATTACATGACGATGATACTAAAATGCCTTGTACCATAAGTCCTTCTTCCCTAAAAATAAGTAAAGAACCAGCGTTTTGAACCAGTCGTGATCAGATTCAAAGGGAATCAATGGACTCGTTTTAGATCCTTCTTCTTGTTCTGAAGAAGAGACTCGCCTTCTTTTGACTCATTAATGTTCTGTCTTGAGGCTTACTCAAAAGCTGCAGAAAAAGTGGGGGTTTGTTTGTCATCTAAATGACATGATTGCATTTTTAATATCGGTATTATAAAATTTAAAAAAATTTAATATATTTATTTAAAAGTTTTAAATAAACTCATTCAACAGTTATAGCATATCTTTTAAAAACATTCACATTATATTATATTTTCAAGCACGGATTACTCTAATGTATATATATCTTCGCACCACTCCGGCAGGGGAGGGGAACGGGATGGAATCACTAAATTATTTGAACTTTCACTAATATTCTCTTTATTTATAATGGATACTTGAGATCTCTCATATATATATTCAGGTACACATCTTTCATTAATTATTTGAAATTTTAATTAACCCCTTCTAGTTTTTTATGAAATACTACTTTTGACACCGTTAAATATGGTGATGCCATCAAAGTTTTATTTTTTATAATATAAGTTTTACCCTTTCTTTAGTTATTGGATGCAATGATAATCTAATGTCACCCTTGTTTTCAATTTTGATAAAATCTTATGTGAAAAACTAAGTAAATTTGAAATAAGAAGACTAAAATTATATCTTTACACTCAAAGAATAATAATAAATTCAAAACAATGTTCAGAGTTAATGTATATGGAGGTGTATACGAAATTATTCTTAAATATACGTAAAGTAATTTAAAAATTATTTTAAGAAATTAACCAGCCTTCAATAATTTTTAATTTGTAATAGACGCTAATCATTACAGGATCTACCATCTACGATAAATTGAGTTTAAAAGGAGTACAATGAAATTTTAGATACTTAAAAGAATATCCTTTAAGTATATGATCGAATAGTGAGTATTGAGTACAAATTAAGTCTTTCAAGAATAATAATAATAGTCGTATACTTGGTCAGACTTAGCATTGTGACCCTACCCCAATTTTTATATTCATTACTTTTGGTTTTGGTTTTGGGCCCTTTGAATTCTTATGAGCTTGTGTTTGGTCCTCTCAACACCTGATGTAGACGTAAAATTTTGTCATTCTATTGTGATAATAAATGTCACCGATGGCATGACCTTGTAATGAATATTTTTATTATTTCTGTCGAAGATCGTTAAATTAAAGTAATAATATGATTTTATGCTTCAATTTAATTATTATTATGATTATAATTATATTCTAATTGGAATTAAAAAATAGTAGGGTGGACATACATATATTCAATAAATATTTTAAATTTGAGAAAATTACACTCAGACACTCTAAAATTTATTATTTAAACCCCTTAATATTTGAAATATTACACATAGATTCTCTAAAATTTGTATACACGTAACACTTAGACCTCTACTGTGAATATCTGTTATATATCCATTAATAAATTATATCCAGACCCCCTAAAATTTGTAGACATATAATAGTTAGACCTCTCAAGTTTAAAATGTTATATTTAGATCAAAAATCATTCAATCAAAGATAAAATATCATATATTTTAAATTGTACAATCAAAATTCATGTTCTATTATGACATTTATTGAAATAAAATTAAAAATAAAATCTAATTTTTTTCTTTAAAAAGTTATAATTAGTATAAAATTATATTATCTATTAGAATTTAATTTGATCTTTTAAAAGACCAAATTAAACTACCAAATTAATCCAATTAAAGTTAGAATATATATTAGTTTTATTCTTATGATTTTTTAAGAAAAAATTATATTTTTATTTTTGATTTTATTTCAATAAATGACATAATATAACATGAATTTTGATTGTAAAATTTATGTTCTATTATGAATGAATTACACCCCTTGTTTAATGTTTTTTAGTTTTATTCTAATAGATAATATAATTGTATATTAATTATGAGTTTTTGAGAAAAAAATTGACTTTCAATTTTTTATTTTATTTCAATAAATGATATAATATAACATGAATTTTAGTTGTAAAATTATAAATATTTGATATTTTATTCATTGAAGTTTTTTTAGTCTAAATATAACATTTTAAACTTAAGAGGTATAAATATTATATACTTACAAATTTTAAGGGATCTAAGTGTAATTTATTAACGAACATTTGACGACAAGAGCCTAAGTGTTACGTGCATATAAATCTCAAAAAATGTGCGTATAATATTTTAAAATCAAGAGATGTGAGTAATTAGCTTATAAACTTGAAGAAGTTTGGATGCAATTCTCCCTCGAAGCAACCAACACGCTGGACTCACCTGTAATAGATAGCAACAGTTTGTTTTTGTTGATCAGATCGATAACAACCATTCATTTACCCCAAAAAAAAGAAGAAGAAGAAGATAGCAACAGTTCTTTCTCTTATTTCTTTTTTTTCCTTTTATTTTACGAGGGTGATAAAATTAATATTTACGCATAATTTAGTGGATGGAATTTTTATAAACAAAGTGCACAATATCGAATTTGTAACATCATATCTAATAACCCGATAAACTTAAATCGCATTGAACAACATTTAAGCATCAATTGATATGGAACTATTGAACGTGTTAAAACAAGCATTTAAGCATCAATGGATTTTGATTACCCACCTAATAATGCATTCTATCTGTGGGTATTTTGTTATGTTATATTGAATTATGAAGTCAAATGCATTGTACCGTTATTCTGTGGCACCGTTAGTCGCCCTATATATTATTTTAAATATTTGGAGAAAATATTTTTAATTACTGCTTTTTCATCCCTTATCTTTTTGGACAGAGAATTTCTTTATATTTTTCTCGGTGAGTGAAATTCCGTTATTGACCCGCGTCAAGGACCTGGTCAAAATTGAATAAAATAAGAAATGAAACCAACCAAAATTTTGATGGCGAATTTCATCCTAAAAGTTTTAAAAACTTTAATTTTACATTCGTAAAAGATTAAATTTTTTATATGATACCCTTAATATATTAAAACTATTACAATGTGATCTTTTCGATAGTTTTTGATGATGCACAAATCGAATTTGCGTACCACCTATCAAGTAATTAATGCAAATAATAAAATAGAGAGCAAAAAACTCAACAGAAGCAATACACAATTTAATTGGTTCGGTCAAGGTAATCTACTTCACTGTAAAAGGCTAGAATGACCTGCGTGTTTTATTATTGTACGAGCCTAAGAGGATCAGGTGAGAGCTCAAGTGGGAGCAATGAGAGCTCATGCGACGTACAAGATGTGAGAGATATGAGACTAATGCAAGATGTGATCGATTTGTGTGAGATGCCCCTCATGTGTATGCGAGAGTTATATTTTATAGTCGCCTCTTAACAGATTGAGACGACTTATCAGTAACTAAAAGACTAATTTGGTGGAAGGGGTGTCATCTTCGCAACGAATAAGGCTGTTGCGGGGCTCTTCTCAAGACCAGGAATTAGGATAGTGTGGTCGACTTCCTTGCTACTTACTCCAAGGTAGCGTGGATGAGACTTTTGGGATGACATTGTCTACTCCTTGATGACGTGGCTCTTGGAGCCTTGATAAACCTGACTAGACGTGAAACTCTTTTGGACTGGACCCATTGAATTTGATCTAGGTGGATCCTTTATTCATGTTAGGCCCACAACCTCAGTTGGGTCTTAGGCTAGCCCCATTAGTTTTAGTTACTCATTTCTTTATCGTCAATAAGGTGGGTTTTGACGAAATAAGTAACGGAAGATAATAACAAGGCCACATTATAACACTTTTAATTCATTAAGGTGAAATATGAGAAATCTCATCTTTAAGGGTTTAAAGTGAATAAACTTAAATCTTTCGGGCTACAAAATGGTATTTCCCCCTTTCTTTTTGTTAATTTTAAATTGAGAAAACAACACCTTTCGTGGATATAGAAGTTGGGATTAGTTGAAGAAGATTCAGATACTAAAAAACTTTGATTTCTCCCGAAGTCTTCCAGGCTGAATTTCTTGCGATTTTCTCAACTTGTATTAATAAATTGAGACTAAAAACAACAACAAAAAATTAAGCCTGCAATACTGGTCAAATTCTGTGTGCACCAGCAATTGTTCAATCTGTTTCTTTCAAGTCCTATAAGTCTCTCTATCTCTCTCTCTCTTAAATTTTGCTTTCTATACCCATATTCAGTATCATGGGAAAAACCTGTCAAAGGGAAGTTTTCCGTAGAGGAAATAATAGTATGACCATGAAGTTTTCTTTCCCTTGCCCTAAATGTTTCTCCTCTGCATCAGATATCATGGCTACCAGCAAGAACAAGACTGGTAAATTCTCTGTCTTTTTGGCCTTCTTTTCATTTCAATTCTGCTTTTTCCATGTATAAAACCAGGGAGCATGTATAAAATCAATTGCTAAAGCAGGTGGACAAACCACCAAGAATTTCCATGTATTTTCCTACAAAGAATTAAAAGCTGCCACTAATGGATTCCGTTCATCCAACAAGATTGGAGAGGGAGGATTCGGCACTGTCTACAAGGTAAGGCGTGTTATGGGTTTGACTCACAAAAATAGTTTCTTCTTTACCTTATGTACATTTGTAGTTTGTCTTGGCAATGCCTTTTGATAATACTTTTGGTTTTGGTTGGACTAATACAGGGCCGGCTTGGAGATGGAACTTTTGTGGCAGTAAAAGTGCTATTGGTTGAGCTTGAATCATTGAGAGGTGAAAGGGAGTTTATAGCTGAAATAGCTTCACTCTTCCATATCAAACATGAAAATCTTGTTACACTTCGAGGGTGTTGTGTTGAAGGAGCTAAGAGATTTTTGGTGTATGATCATATGGAAAACAATAGCCTTGCTCACACCTTTCTTGGTAATTTCAATTTCTGTGCTATTAATCTGCAGTGTAGTATATATAGGAGATATTAAGATTAAAGTTCTTCTTTGATTTGTACATTCATAAGAATCTCAGAATGTTACTAGAAAATGTTTTCTTTGTGTGATGTTTGATCAATAGGTGGAGAGAAAAACAGGATGAGATTTAGCTGGACACTGAGGAGGGATATCTCATTAGGAATCGCTCGTGGACTTGCCTATCTCCATGAAGAGGTCAATCCCCACATCGTTCATCGGGATATTAAGGCCAGCAATATACTACTTGATCAGAATTTTACACCAAAAGTTTCGGATTTTGGTCTGTCGAAGCTATTCAGCGATAACATGTCTCACATTAGTACTCGTGTTGCCGGGACATTGTAAGTTGAATTACTGGTTTTTTCAAGTTTCAACCAACAATTGCAACATAGATCTGTCTGTATTGGGTTCATTCCTTTTTGAGTGCTGTGTTGCTAATGGGGATTTCTGCAATGACAAATGCCAAAGAGGCTACCTTTCTCCAGAATACGCCATTAGTGGACATTTAACGCGGAAGTCAGATGTTTACAGCTATGGAGTACTGCTATTGGAGATGGTCAGTGGCCGATCAATCGTTGATTTTGATTTAGAACGTGGGGAGCAGTTCCTAGTTGATAAGGTAACAAAATTAATTAAGCACTGTTGAATCTATCATAGCTAATATTTCCTGGCAAAAATGTGACAAGCCTGTTTTTTGATATCAGTCTAAGAAGCTCAAGACTCAGAAATCGCCATAGTTATTTTCAAGGGGGGGAAAAGCAAACAAACTTGGATTGATTTGGTTCATCAATAATACCTTGTTGAATGTGCTATTAGAAAAGTTTTTGGTCTTTACTAGAGTTCAGGAGTCATTTCTCTCCAGGCCAAAGTATTCAACTTTTACGATTGCATCAAATAAAAAAACTGGGAGAGAATTGGAATTAGAGAGAAGCCTCACACTCTATGACAAACTTTTGTCTTTCGACCATTTAAGGTAGATTTGCTTCTTGTATTGAAAAAGGAGAAAAAAAAATTGGGAGAATACATCATTGGTTTTGTATGGTCAAAAAATAAGGCATTGAGTGATTTCATTCCTTCAAAATATTTGTTACTACGATAAATCCAAAGGACACGCGGCTAAGACAATTTCTTGTTTAGGAAAAGAAATGAGGCATTGTGCCCCCTTGTTAGGTCAAGCATGGGAAATGTACAATGCTGTTGTGTGTACAATACATAGGGACTGTAAAAAATGTATACAAATATGAGATAATGTGACTTTCAATTGATCATATTGTTAGCTTTGCTTGGTTCCATATAGTAGACAATGACTTCTTTTGTGCACATTTAATTATGTGCAGGCATGGGAGATGTACAACGCCAACAACCTCTTGCAGCTAGTGGACCCTGTACTAAAAAGAGATTTTCCGGTAGAAGAAGCAGTCCGATTCTTAAAAATTGGCCTGCTCTGCGTGCAAGAGAACACCAAGCTCCGCCCTCCCATGTCCACAGCCATCAATATGCTGACAAATATGATTGACATTGAAAACATCAAGGTTTCGCAACCTGGACTTGTTGCCGATCTCATGGATGTTAAAATAGGCCAGAAGAACTCTTCCCGGAAAAGTAGCTTTTTCTCCTAGGCGTCCACCGGTATGAAAATATAGAGCGGCCGTGCGGTGGCTGTCGAGGCTAGCTTGGACCAGGCAATTGTATTTGTCTTGAAAATGAATCAAAAATTCTATTTTTTTTATCAAGAAAATGAAGCAATTCAAATCATGATTTTGTGATTCTAAAGTACCCATCCCCATTGCATTGACCAAACATTCACTAATTTCACATACTATGTAATGCTTAAAGTGAGAATGGCTGGTGGCGCAATGTACAGACTTTATGGATTGAGTTACCCTTTTATGTTCATACTTGAAAAGCTTTCTTGGACAATTCTCAGGTCTATTTCCTTGCAATGCAACACTGTAACTTCTTGTAAGTGGAAAAGGACAAATTTCTTTTTTTTTTTTGGCAACGGAAAATCATTTTAAACACGTCTATTTTAGACTTATGGGTACCAAATAAATCTCCAATGAATGTAATTACTTGTAATCCATTAGACTCGAGTTTAATGCAATCAAATTGTTTCGAACTGAAAGCGTGCAGTTCACAAATCGACCCTTGTTCGAATAAACCAATATGTGCGAATTGAGTATCTGAAATATTTATTGAAGAAAGAATTTCAAATAGGACAATCAACTTTAATATTACTTGGTATAGCTCATTTAAAAAGCCCTCCCGATTGTCGTACTCGAATACAACATGTTAGAAAACAAATAATTGCATGATATGTCAACTCTTCATGCATATGCACGTGGTTCTACGTCCATGACAATGAGTTAATTGGTTTACTGCCAAGGCGGCTTCTTTGAGATTAGAGGTCAACACATTCATGTCGAAGAGTTTGTGCCCAGGGGTTTTTTATCGGGCCAATGTGACCCGATCCAATCCGCTGCGGACAACTCCCCTATATTATAGGGGCTTAGGGAGGCCTCTCTCTTTCCTCATAAAGTATATCTATATAAAAGTAGAACGATTTTGAATTTTAGAGATAAAGAGAGGTTCAGATCGTTTGATAACAAAAAAAAACATCATCCAACGAACGATGTTATCTCAAACTGTCTCAAACTATTCACGTCTCAGATCATTTCAAAAGTTCTGATTCAACGCACCAAATTAGCTCCCAAGTTTTGTATCTCGCCCAAAATATTTCTTTTTCTTTTAATCCCTTAATCACAGGAAATTTCTATCTGTTTATCATGTTCTCTCCCTTAATTTACTCTATCAGTAACCATTTTCCATACTCAGATGACGCCTCCCAAATCTAGCCTTGATATCCCATACCCATATCTTCCCCAAATCTCTCTCTCTCTCCGTCCTTCAACAATGCGACAACCACAGTCGCCACCAATGCTACCATAGCGGCCACCGAACAACAACCCCACAAAACTATCGAAAATCTCCCTCCACCGCTAAAGACCACCGAAACAAGCGGGTGGTGTGGCCTGCTATGGATGAAAAAATAGCCACAATCTCTCTTTGCTCCTCTCTCTCCCTCTGTCCATCACCTTCCATCAACCAAACCCAATCCAATCACTACTTTGGAAAACTTCTTTGGCTAAAATTATGGAAACAGGTACACATCTATAGCTTTTCTTGATTGATTATTTCTATAGTCTATATAGTTGAACTCATGAATTTGGTGATTTCTTAGGTCCCAAGTTAAAACAATGAAAAAGAAATCCATTTTGCTATCTAAGAAATATTGGATTGGTTTTAAATTTGTATATGAAGATGTTCTTTCTAGCTATTTTTTAACCTTCTTTTTTACCAAAGAGTTGGTGACTGAGTAGCTATTTTATTGATGAATGGATTTAATCTGCTAATCTTTATTAGACATAAAAATCCTTATTACCCAAGGACGAGAATTTTGAACGGTGTTTGTTACAATTACTTGGTCACAATCCTCATTTGAACGGTGTTTTTATTTCGATTAAACTGGAGAGATAAACTCAGAAAGTGTCTGCTAAAAATGAATCCTTTAGCGTGAGGTGAAATGAGTTTTCTTTATTGTTGTTGCAGGAACCCGCAATACGGTTCAATTTGTTTTCAATAATACCATTGAATTCCATCTTCTCTGATGTAATTTGTTCCCAACAACATCCTTTCTTTGCTAACAGTGTTTTGTTTATATTTCAACTCATGGGCAGACCATATAGAAATGGAGAAGTAATTTTGATTGATCACAAAGTTGCAATGAGGAGCACAACCAAGAATTTCTCAATAGCCTGAGTTGATTTCATTGCTCAAGTTCCTGATACATTTGTAATTGCTTGAATTTCAATTATTTCAGTTTAATCATGTTAACTTCTATTATAATCAATCGACTTCCAATGTGTATGCATAGGTTTGACATTTTCAAAGTTATACTCTGGTTGCCAATCATTGTTTCCCAGTGTTTAAAAGTTGTAGGTTCTTTGTTCTTAGCAATTTGTGGGACTATCTATTTGATATATTCGACATCGACACAATAGTTGTATTATAAGGCATCGATGATTGGAGTGGTGATTAGGGAAAATAAAATCGAATTGGACTGTGAATGACTAGAAAACATGGGTAGCGAACCTCTTGGAAGATTAAATTATTTGGTATTCTTAAGAGGCATGAAGTGGTCTTTTTGACATGCGAGTTTAATGGAAAGCTTGGAAGGATTAATAATGGTGGAATATTGGAGAGAGAAATTTGGGGAAGTACCTCAAAATTCAAAAGTTTTCCAAATTGTAAAACAATAATAGTGATTAGCGAAATTAGGAGATCAGTGATGAGATTGATGACTGCTTCTATGAGGATTCTTTTCACCAGAGTTAACTTTTTCATATTATTTGCTGCTCTTTATTTTTTGAAATCAACTGTTATGCGTGCTTTATTTAGGTGAAATATGAAGAAAGTGACAGATTCCAAAGGATGCGTATTGTCATAGTGTCCAGTATAACTTTAAAGGAGGTATTAAATGCATCCTAAGTTTTGTGGTGAAGATCTATTTGGTTTTGGCAACTGCTAAGGTCATCTCATGGTAGGTCAATGGGGTGTGGTGGCAGAGGCTTTTAGGGGATAATATTACAAAAGTCTGTCTTCAATGCTACAAAAATTTCAATACTGGTTACAAAAATTAAAGGAGATTGTTTTATCTGTTTTTTAAAAAATATATATTGATTGGCAATGGTCAAAATTTTGTGTTATGGATTGGCTTCATGTATGTATAAAATAGTTATAATTTTGTTTTCGAGTTATATAGTGTCTTCAGACACGGGTAATTGCTAGTCTATATATAAGGAATTTGACTCAACAGACATAAACCAACGCTGCTACTCTGAATTTATTCTAGTGACATAGCTCTTTAAAGAGAAGGAACAAACAACAGGCAATGAAAAAGAAAAGAAAAAGAGGGAATAGAGCCACACAAGATGCAGAGCCTAATTCAAGAATTTTAAAACATAAATTGCTACACTAAACGCTTCCAAGGAAAATAAAAACCTAGTGGTGAGCAACCTTCACAAGATCTTGCCAATGCCAATTTACATAGGCACCACAATTGCTTCCAAGACAAACTGGAAAAAACACACACAATCAAAGTACAGAGAAAACAGAACAACACTATGGCAGAACAGTCCTTAGTGATCTCTATAACCTTTAATTTTTTTACAGGAATCTCTAGCACCTCACACATTCAAAAGTAGTAAAATAAGTATCAAATAAAAGTCACATTGACACCCAGCGTAATGCGCTATAACTACTAATTGGAATTCATCTTTACATTTCCGAATATGATCATAATCCAAAATTGATTTCACCCAGAAAAATTCGAGCGAAAAAAAAAAAATTAACCCACCATAGCATTTAACTATATAGAGAATCAAGTGCATATTTATTTGTCTGAGTATCCATACACAGTTTTGCATCAATCGAAAAAGATTTAAAGCTTGGGGCATTTATTCAATTATTTCTTTAACATCTATATAATAAAGTACAAAAGACTTCAAATTCGCTAAGACATAATAATGACTTTTACTTTTTGTGATTCTAAGTCATTTCAAAACAAATCCAAAAGCAATCTCATGACTGGAAATCATTCCCTAAAATATGAGTTCCTGTCCAAAACATTCCATATCAATGCGGTCTCACACACATTTTTACCTTGCTGGCCCAGCCT